CTGGAGGCTGGGCGCAGATACAAGATGAACCTGTATGGCATCCACAGTGGCCAGCGTGTGGGCCCCGTGTCTGTTGTCGGGGTGACAGGTGAGTGGACAGTGCAGATCTCAGGGAGAACTCAAGGGGAGGTGATTCTCAGCTCCTTGGTGATGTGAGTGGGGACCAGGGCCCTGGGTTGGCCAGTACCATGGAACTGCCGCGGTGAAGGCCTTGGCCCACGAACTGGCCTGCTCTCCTGGGCAGTAGAGTTACAGAAACCTCTGCCATGCTGGTGGCCATCCAGATCCCCTCAGCTGACCCAGGAGCTTGGGCACATTGGCCAGCTATCAGCTGACCAAGGCCACTGGTCCTCAGGAAGCTTTTCAACTGATCTCAGATCACCAAATAGCTATGACTTCTGCCTCCTTCTCAAGACCTGAAGGCACCTGCTGGGGAACACCACCCCCCGACGCTCACCTCTGTGTCTCCTTCTCAGCTGCAGAGGAAGAGACCCCCAGCCCCACAGAGCCCAGCACAGAGGCCCCAGAACCCCCCGAGGAGCCGCTCCTGGGAGAGCTGACCGTGACAGGATCCTCCCCAGACTCCCTGAGCCTCTCCTGGACCATCCCCCAGGGAGACTTTGACTCCTTCACCGTCCAGTACAAGGACAGTGATGGGCGGCCTCAGGTGGTGCGTGTCAGGGGCCAGGAGAGGGAGGCCGTGGTGAGAGACCTGGAGGCTGGGCGCAGATACAAGATGAACCTGTATGGACTCCACGAGGGTCGGCGTGTGGGTCCCGTGTCCACCGTGGGCGTGACCGGTGAGTGTGAACCAGGGCTTTAGGGGTGTGTCTCCCTCCTCGGGGGTATGTGGTCACCTTCTCTGTTGTCTTCCCAATCCCACAAGGCTAAGATTTGGTTCCCCTTCCACATCCTTCCTGAGCAGCCTTGGTCTTTGTTCGCCAGCAACCTCTTCCTCACTCTGTCGTGACCTTCCTCCAGCAGGTGAAACATCCCTCACACAGCATGCCACCCTCTAGTGTTTTCCTGTTTTTCTTTTCCTAGTTGCAGGAGTCTTTGTTATATCCACTTTCACACTTATACACAGATAAACAACTCAACAGCATACTAGTTAGGTGTGGATGCACGGCATAGGCAGCATCTATATATCCCCTGACGACACGTCAGCATGCATCTGCAGACGTGGTTCAGAGGTTAAGGACGCTCTTGCAGATGACCCCAGTTGGTTTTCCCAGTGCCCACATCAGGCAGCTCACAACTCCTGGATCTGATGTCCCTGGCCTCATATGCACACATGTACACACACTGAGAGAGAGACAGAGACAGACAGACAGACAGACACACTACATTTTAAAAACACTACATATTTATTTGTTTGTTTGTTTGTTTATATTATCAGCTTGATACAGTACAAATTCTTATCCTAATAGTGAAATGTTTCACTGAGGCTTGCCCAGTGATTGAGTAAAACCAAAACTTATTATAAGCCACAGTCATCCTAGGGTCTCCCCTGCTAGGGAGCCTCCCTGGTTCTGTGGGTTGCAGTCTGATTGTTCTTTGCTTTATATCTAGTATTCGCTTATGAGTGAGTACATACCATGTTTGTCCCTATGAGTTTGGGTTACCTCACTCAGGATGATATTGTCTAGTTCCATCCATTTGCCTGCAAATTTCATGCTGTCATTGTTTTTCTCTGCTGAGTAGTACTCCATTGTGTATATATACCACATTTTCTTCATCCATTCTTCTGTTGATGGGCATCTAGGTTGTTTCCAGGTTTTGGCTATTACAAATAGTGCTGCTATGAACATAGGTGAGCATGTTTCTTTGTGGTATGATTGAGTATTCCTTGGGTATATGCCAAAGAGTGGTATGGCTGGGTCTTGAGGTAGATCGATTCCCAATTTTCTGAGAGACCGCCACACTGATTTCCACAGTGGCTGTACAAGTTTGCACTCCCACCAACAGTGGAGGAGTGTTCTCTTTACTCTGAATCCTCTCCAACATAGACTGTCATTTAAAACTCTAATATTTAAAAAATAAAATAAAATAAAAAATTATGGAGACGGGGTTTCTCTGTGTAGCCCTGGCTGTCATGGACCAGGTTGGCCTCTGTCTCCTAGGTGCTGGGATTAGAGGAGTGTGCCACCATACCCTTCTTCAATTTCTGCTTTTTTTTGTGGGGGGTTCAAAACAGGGTTTCTCTGTGTATTTAGCGCTGGCTGTCCTAGAACTTACTCAGTAGACCAGGCTGGCCTCGAACTCAGAGATCCACCTGCCTCTGCCTCCTGAGTGCTGGAATTAAAAGGATGTGTCAATACCATCCAGTTTAAAAAAAAATTGTAAAGAAAAAAATTTTACTCCATAAACAATTTTGTAATGTTCCATTGAAAAATACAGAACTGGCCGGGCGGCGGTGGTGGCACACGCCTTAACCCAGCACTCAGGAAGCAGAGCCACGCGGATCTCTGTGAGTTCGAGGCCAGCCTGGGCTACAGAGAGCATTCCTTTCTCAATAAAGACACACAGAGGTAGGCTGAGTTAAGTCCTTGCTATGAAAGCAGAGGACCCAAGTCTGATCCCCAGGATTCACATAAGAAGAGTTGGGCAGGATGGCGCATGCTCGTAATCTCAGGGCTGGCGAGGTAAGGGCAGGAAGGTCCCTAGGGCTCTCTGGCCAGCCAGCCTACACAAGTCGGTGGCCAGGGAGAGGCCATGTCCAAGTAGGTGGTTCATGCCTGTGGAATGACAGCCATGCTTGATCTCACACACACACACACACACGTACACACACACACACACACACACACACACACACACACACTCGCGCGCGCACACACACACACACACACACACACACCAAACAATTCGAGTCCCTTGATGGAGTAGTGCTGTGTGGCATTGCTGGGTGGTGGTGAGAGGTGGGGATGGGCATTTTTGGTGGAGGAAGAGGTTAATTGGGGGCGTGGTCTTGGACCTATCTCTTGGCCTGATTTCCACCTCTCTCCTTCCTGACCACCATGATGCGACTGCTCTGTCCCAGCGCACCGTCCTTCCCACCACAATGAACCAAGACCCCCCAAAGTGTGGGTCCGAATAATCTTCCCTCCCTCAAAAAATAAAAACCAGGATGAGGGAAAGAAAAGGGGGCAGCAGAGCCCAGAGTCCTGCAGGGTGCTAATCACAGCCAGTTGGCAATAACCGGCAGGGCAGGGGGACAGGATGAAGCGCAGCCCACGGCGCCCACGGCAGTGTGCTTTGTGAGACGGAATGCAGTGTTCTGCACATTGCTGGATTGCCTTTTTTTTCCTGTTTTAGTCTGTTCTGCATTGTGTGAATGTTCCAACATGGCAAGCATTCCTCCCCCCTCCACGCATTCCTTTTATAATCACAGAGAAACAGAAAAACGCAGCGTCGCTTCCTTAGCAGTCCATCTGTCTTCCCTGTCACCCTGGCAACGAGGCTTGTTTCTAATTATGAGAAAATTAAACTTGCCAGTCCCTAAGCAGCAAGGGGACAGGCAAGTCACAGGTGCACTCAGGTCCCTGGATGTTGGTCTCACGGCTTCCCAGGGCTTCTCAAGAGTGAGCCAGAGGTGGACAGACCCCTCCTCAGGGACACTGCGTTGGGGGAGGGGTCGTCAAGCCACTTAGCCACAGAGGAGGCATCTTGTGCCCTGGTGACCATCCAGATGGAGGGATCATTGTCTCACAGTCTCCCTGACCTGACAGGTCTTATTTCTGTACAAGCGTCCAGCCGACTGCAGGGTTGTGGGGCTGGGGAACCACTGGGGAGTTTGCAGCCTGGGCTAAGCTGCTAATGCTCAGCCTCTTTACCTTCTGCCATTCCCCATAACGGTAATTCTCAACTCACAGCAAGTAGAGAGTGCAGAGAGGGACCCGCGGGCCCTGCCCCTCTGTATCCCTGGTCCCCCATGTCCTTGCCCCCCATTTCCGCCTGTGTCATAGCCCATTCCCATCTCCCACTCACGTATTAGTGTTCTTAGTCAATCATTTCTTCTTAAGCCTGTGTTTTTGTAGAGTGTGAGGAACATGGCAGCCATGCACAAAGCTTGAAAACTAGAAAGTAAAGTGCTCGGTCTGGCTTTGGCCCAATAACCACCATTAGTAACTGTAAGTTCTTGACTGTCCTGTTGAAGCCCTGGGTTCCCTGCCTAACACCCACACATCAGCAAAACCAAACCAAAAGCTGTAAGTGAGCCCCTCTTCTGCTTTCTCAGTGCAGCGTACTTTAAAGCCACAGTCGGGAGTGCTCCTGTGGAGCCGCAATCAGGGGAGTGAGTGCTCCCATGGAACTGCAGTCAGGGAGGGAGTGCTCCTGTGGAGCTGCAGTCAGAGGAGGGAGTGCTCCCGTGGAGCCGCAGTCAGAGGAGGGAGTGCTCCAGTGGAGCCGCAGTCAGAGGAGTGAGTGCTCCCGTGGAGCCGCAGTCAGAGGAGTGAGTGCTCCGGTGGCACTGCAGTCAGAGGAGTGAGTGCTCCCGTGGAGCCGCAGTCAGAGGAGTGAGTGCTCCCGTGGAGCTGCAGTCAGGGGGGAGTGCTCCTGTGGAGCTGCAGTCAGGGGGAGTGCTCCCGTGGAGCTGCAGTCAGGGGGAGTGCTCCCGTGGAGCTGCAGTGGGGGGAGTGCTCCCGTGGAGCCGCAGTCAGGGGGGAGTACTCCCGTGGAGCTGCAGTCAGGGGGAGTGCTCCCGTGGAGCTGCAGTCAGGGGGGAGTGAGTGCTCCCGTGGAGCTACAGTCAGGGGAGGGAGTGCTCCCGTGGAGCTACAATCAGGGGAGGGAGTGCTCCCGTGGAGCTGCAGTCAGAGGAGGGAGTGCTCCCGTGGAGCTGCAGTCAGGGGAGGGAGTGCTCCGGTGGAGCTGCAGTCAGGGGGGGGTGAGTGCTCCCGTGGAGCTACAGTCAGGGGAGGGAGTGCTCCCGTGAAGCTGCAGTCAGGGGGGAGTGCTCCCGTGGAGCTGCAGTCAGGAGGGAGTGCTCCCGTGGAGCTGCAGTCAGAGGAGGGAGTGCTCCCATGGAGCTGCAGTCAGGGGAGGGAGTGCTCCGGTGGAGCTGCAGTCAGGGGAGGGAGTGCTCCGGTAGAGCTGCAGTCAGGAGGGAGTGCTCCCGTGGAGCTGCAGTCAGAGGAGGCAGTGCTCCCGTGGAGCTGCAGTCAGGGGAGGGAGTGCTCCCGTGGAGCCGCAGTAAGGGGAGTGAGTGCTCCCGTGGAGCTGCAGTCAGGGGAGGGAGTGCTCCCGTGGAGCTGGCTCTTCCTTTTCTGAGTGCCAGCTGGATGGAAGTCGCTTACCTTGTGACTACACGGTTTGTATTAATCACCGTTTTAATGGTTATTTGATGCTCTCTGGTTACAGCCCTGTAACAAAACCAATCATCTGTTACGGGCCATTTGGGTCCTGACACATTTTGCTGTCATGAATAATCTCATTATGAATTCTTCCATGCGGTAACTTTTTCCTGCTCTTAATAATTTTCTTAGGATAAACGCCCAGAAATGGGATTATTGGGTCAAAGGAAGTGAGCACTATTTTGGCTCCCGACACACATGGCCTCGTTGCCTTCTGAAGGTGTGTGACGGGGCAGCCTGACATTCAGACAGGTCAGCAGTCTCCAGTGACCAGATGGCCACGGTGAGGCCACATGAGTCCCCAGCGTCTGTGGAGGAAGTTTATCTGCTGTGTGTCCTTACACCTGTGTGGTCCCAATGTTTCTCCCAGGTCAGGGGACCCTGGGAAGAATTCCCGCACAGAGGCTCAGGACCCAGAGGAGCCACTCCCGGAGGATCCAGTAATGACGGATCCTCCGCAGACTCCCTGAGCCGCTCCTGAACTGACACTTTGACTATTGGTAGGGATGGGTAGCCCTGGTGGTACATGTGGGGGGCCAGGAGAAATACTGTGGGGGACCTGGAGCCCGGACCACAGGTACAGAACGTATCTGTATGGGCTCTGTTTGGGCATTGAGTTGGCCTGTGTCCATCATGGATGCATCCGACCTGGATTCAGAAATCATCCTCTTGTAGCCAGCTTCCTGGAAGCATCCGCTCTTAGCCATCAGGGACTTCCCACAGAGCAGATCGGGGTACAGTAGGTCCACCCAGAGTCTCCTAGCCTGCATTCATATCAAGATGCAGCGTTAGCCTCACTCTGGTGATAAGAAGCTGATATAATCAGCTGATAAGAGTTCCGCTTTGGCTCGGTGTCTGGTGGATTGGCCCTGTCCCTTCAGAACCTGTCATAGACTAGCTCATCACAGCAGATCAGGGAGAAGGAGGAAGCTCTCAGCCTCACCGTCCTCTTCAAGGGCACACCCTAAGCAACACGAGGAGCTTCCACCAGGTCACCCTCACCTCCTCCCACCCCAGGACCCTGGGGACCGATCACCTAATGCACAGTCACCTGAGAGATGGGTGGTCCTGACTGGTGAGGCCAGGGCACAGCTTAAACAGAACAGTTCCTCACAGCAAAGGCAATGGCGCTCCATGGGAATGGGAGCCCTGCAGTCTTCCTGCCTCATGCATGAGTCCTTACAGAGGCTCTGTCACTATGGAAACAGTTGAGTGGGGTGCTGGGGTGCAGCCTTAACTGTACACCCCTCCAGTGTATCAGGGAAGTTACAGGTGCCAGATCCAGGTGCAGGCTGCATCCACTGGGGAACCTTGAGCCTGGAAGACTGACAGGTTCCTGAATGATGGCTTCGTAGCCATACCAAACATGAGCTTGGGATAGAGAAGCCTGGGGACAAGGCAGGACCCGGCAAGGGACACCTAAGCCAGCCTGCTCCCAGGGAACCACCGAGACCTGAAGTCTTTAGAATGAGTCCAAACTGGCACATAGAGCAGCAGGCTAGAAAAGGCATGGTCCAGAAAGAACCTGAGGATTCTGTGAGATGTCCTCAGAGTACGGGATGGTCTTAAGACAGGGTGGGGGCAGCTCAGGAAGCCTGGGTTCTGAAGGCACCAGATCAAAAGATGGGCACACGCAGAGCCTGGGCTGCAAGGCTAAGCAGACAAGGAGGGAGGGAGGGAGGGAGGGAGGGAGGGAGGCAGCCTAGAGGCAGGGAGGGCTGGGTAGTGGGACATGGTGGCCCACCCAGGGGTCCTGGGCTGGTGAGCGAGGCAGCCAGGCAGGGTCTAGCAAAAGTCTGGGACACTCTGAGTCTAGCGGTGGCTGGCTTGGGGTAGGTCCACCTACAGATTGGGAACAAAGACAGGAGCCTAGCGAGGAGGGAGATGGCAAGGACAGCCATCTCAGGGAGGTCCGAGTAGCAGCCATGAAGAGGCCGATGCTGAGGGAGGGGGGACGTAAGTGGGTGCGGGCAGACGGAGGGAGAGTCTAGGTGGGGTGCCAGGACGGCAGCGTGGAGAGAGCAGAAATGTACGGTGGAGCCACTGAGGCCCGTGTTACTCCGATCTCAAGGGCTTTGGTATTTTTTTATTTTGTTTTAAGTTTATTTTTATTTTATTAATTTACACACACACACACACACACACACACACACACACACACACACACACAGTTTGTCTGTTTTTTTGTTTTTCAAGACAGGTTTTCTCTGTGTCCTGGATCTTGCTCTGTAGACCAGGCTGGCCTCAAACTCACAGAGATCCACCTGCCTCTGCCTCCCGAGTGCTGGGATTAAAGGCGTGCGCCGCCGCCGCCGCCGCCGCCGCCGCCGCCGCCGCCGCCACCACCACCACCACCACCACCCGGCTTTTATTTTATTAATTATTATTATGTTTTGAGACAGGGTCTCACTTTGTGGCCCTGACTGGCCTGGAACTCACCTGCTTCTGCCTAGTGCTGAGTTTAACGGCCTGTGATGCCACACCTGTCAAGGCTTTGTTATTGCTGTTGGGCTTGTTTGTTTGTTTGTTTGTTTGTTTGTGACAGGGTTTCTCTGTGTAGCTTTGGTGCCTGTCCTGGATCTCACTCTGTAGACCAGGCTAGCCTCAAACTCACAGAGATCCGCCTGCATCTGCCTCCCGAGTGCTGGAATCAAAGTTGTGCATCACCACTGCCTGACCAAGGCTTTGTTTTTTATAAATGGTCCTTTACATGGGAACTAAGGACAGGAAAGACCTAACCTGTCCCTGTGGGTTTGTTCAGATGCAGAGGAGGAAACCGTGACCACACAAGCGGTGCCTATCATGACCTCTGAGCCTCCTCCAGAGAAGCCACGCCTGGGGGAGCTGACTGTGACAGATGCCACCCCAGACTCCTTGAGCCTCTCCTGGACCATCCCCGAGGGACAGTTTGACCAATTCGTGATCCAGTATAAGAACGGGGATGGGCAGCCCAAGGTGGTGCGGGTGCCAGGGCACGAGGACCAGGTCACCATCCCCGGCCTGGAGCCAGACCACAAGTACAAGAT